ATCAAATCATAAGTGTGGTTTTCAAGTAAGGAATTATTTTCCTCTTCCATGGTCTTTTTCCAATCACCTCTTTCTGCATGCTCAATTGCTTCTTGGTAGCTCTCAGGCTCCCCTTGATTGGATATTTACACAAATTCAATGGGAGGCTATTTTTTCGAAGATTGTCGGTCCCTTGTAGATTTCCTCAACTCAAGTTGTGGTGGCAATTCTTGAGTTGGATGTTCTTCCTCAATTTCGAGGTTAACTTTATTAGGAATAACATCATTCTTTACATCTTCAATAGGTGGCTGCACATCTTCCCCATTTTCATCATCCACCGAAAATGAAAGAGATGGATCAATATTAATGAGATCACTGGTTTTTGGCCTCGATTGATCACCTTTGCCTAAGTCTTCAATTGTTTGGTCTTCAAAGAACATAATATCACGGTTTTGAATAACTTTCTTATCGACTGGATCTCACAATCTATAACCAAACTCATCACGCCCATATCCAAGAAAAATGTATTATCTTGACTTGTTATCAAGCTTGGAGCTTTCATCATTCAGAATGTGAATAAATGACAGGCAACCAAACTCTCTCAAATGCTCATAAGACATATCTTTGTCAGTCTAAACTCTTTCAGGAACATCACCATTCAAAGGATAGGAATGAGACAATTTGATCACGTCAACCATTGTCCTCATTGCCTCGTCCCAAAAGGATCTTGGCAATTTAGCATGTGAAAGCAAACATATTGTTCTTTCCACAATGGTACGGTTCATCTTGTTGACAACACCATTTTGTTGAATAGTCTTCTTAATTGTCTTTTGATGCCGAATACCTTGATTGCGACAATACTCATCAAATGGCCTAATGTATTCACCACCATTGTCTGTTAGGATGCACTTCAATTTCCGTCCCGTTTCTCTTTTAACTATGACCTGAAAATGCTTAAACATATCTTGAATTTGATATTTAGTTTTTAGTGCAAAGCCTAAACTTTTCTTGAATAATCATCAATGAAAGTAATAAAATAAAATGCACCACTATATGTTGTAACTTTCAAAGGATCACAAACATCCCAGTGAATCAACTCCAAAATATTTTCTTTTCTACAAGTAATATTTTTGTGAAAAGAAACTCTATATTGTTTACCCTTCCAGCAATGAACACAAGTTTTAAGATGCGTATCTTTCAGACCGGATAGAAACTCTTTCTTGAACAAAACTTGTAGCCCCTTTTTACTCATGTGCCCAAGCCGCTTAAATTCAGTAAAAGTATTATCCTCAAGTGCATTGACAACACATTTACAATTTTTTTCTTGCATCGAATAAAGTGTGCGAGTCTTGTTGCACTTAGCCATCACCAAAGAACCCTTTGTGAGTTTCCATTTTCCATCACCAAATTTGTTGTCGTAACTTTCATTATCTAACTTCTTGGTAGAGATCAAATTGAGGCGAATGTCACAAACATGCCTTACATTTTTAAACAACAACTTGCAATCCAAATTTGTTTCCAAGCAAACATCATCCATGTCAACAATCTTGGACAAACCTTCATTTCTCATTCGAACACAACCATAATCTCCTTTTGTGTAGAAAGTGAAAAATCAACTCGAGAAGTCACATAAAAATAAACACTGGAATCTTGGCCCATAAAATTGACACAATCATCTTCACAAACAACTATGAGATCACCATCGATAGTAATTGCCATTGTGTCTTCTTACTTCTTATCCACACTTTTGTCACGCCTTTTCCCCTTATTCTTGAGCTTTCGGCATTCCCGCTTCATGTGCTCTTTCTCATGGCAATAATGACACTCAATGTGTTTCTTTGAAAAATAACCATCCCTTGATTTGTCATGGCTTTGATCGCGACTATGAGAAGTTTTACTCCTCTCCTTTGTTTTGCTTTGACCTCTCATAACAAATACCTCCAAATGAGAAGAAGCCGTTGATTTTTTTATTGTCTCTTCATATAACAAGCTACTAGTGACTTGGCTCATTGTGACAACTCCATCGGGCACCGAATTACTAACTGTCACAACCAAAGTCTTCTAACTTTCAAACAAAGAACTAAGTAGCATTAAAACCTGTAACTCATCATAAAAAAAATAATTTTCACAGAAGCAAGTTGGTTAACAATACTCTTTATTTCATTCAAATGTTCCAGAATGGGCTTGCCATCTTAATATTTTAAATTAATCAACTTTCGAAACAGAAAAGCTTTTTGTGTCTGATTTTCTATCATAAAGACCTTCTAATTTTTTTCATAAATTATGTATCGAAGTTTCAATAGAAACATGATGAAACACACTGTCATCAATCTATTGACGGATAACACCAACGACTTTTCGATTAACCCTTTTCCATTCATCATCTTTCATACCCTCGAGTTTGCCACTATCACCCTCAATGGGTCCATACAAATTTTTACAAAATAATAGGTCTTTTATTTTAATTTTTCAAGTTATCTAATTGCTTTAATCGAAGCTAGACATACGACCCACATTCCTCTCCACTAATTTATACAAATAAAAGAATCCAAATAAACTGTAAGTTTTGATACCAGTTGTTAGGGAAAATAGATGATTTCTCACAAGTAAATCAATCAATGAAAACAAAAATAATGTGTAAAAATTAAATCAATAATGACACAAGAATTTTTACTTGGTTCCTTCAATGTGAGGTATGTCCACACGGCCGAAATTTGATTCTACTATCAACTAAGGATTTTTCAAACGATTACAAATAAGACACGAATAGTCTTACAAATCGCCCATAGGTAAATTTCAAATAATTACAAAATAATTATGAAGAAAGATCTCACCAAATAGACGAACAAATTATCTTCAAAACAAAATTAAAAAAGACCTAAAATAACAATCCAAACTGATCCACACAATAACTTGAACAAGCTACCACTAAATCCAAATAATCAACCATAGTACTAGCATGAACACAACACCCAAATTAATTCAAGCCACAGAATTAATTTTCCAAGCACACGCCACCGAATGGATCATCAATGTTGGCAACTAGAAATTGAAATCAAAGAAAATTAACAAGCACTAGCCAAAAAGTAGCACACCGAAATAGCAAAAAATAATAAAAAAATATTATTAATTCTTGAACTTTTTATTAAAATTTTAACTGTTACTAAACAAATTATTAAATATTCATTAAACTTTCAAAATCAGATATAATATATAAAAGTATATTATAACTAATACCAAATTAAATAAAATATTTTTAATAAATCAATTAAATCTCATACTCCACTAAAAATATATACCCAACATATACTCCATTGAAGTGCACCATCAAACAACTTTTAATTATTAACAAATCGTTTTGATAAGCATCTTCACCAAACTCTCATATTCATGTGGTTGTTTATTTTCTTCCCACATGACCCAGTTGGTTTTGTGACTTGAAAAAGTGTTTGATTCCATTTTGTCATCTTGTTAAGTCACACATCAGTTGTCGAATCCCTATATTCATTAAAAATGTTTGGGAGCACTAATTAGTGTTCCCACTAATTATGTGGTAGTGGGTCCCGTCATTAATAATGTGATGTTTTAGTTTTGGAGTTGTATTTTTTTTTATTTTTTATTTTTTAATGCATTAGTGCTATTAGTAGTGATATTTTTAGTGGGATGAATCATTGCTGATATTCATTAGCTTGTTTCCAAATAACATACGAACAACTCCAGTGATTCATGTTATTATAATATTGTGGTTGCTATAATTTAACAATAAATAGTAATAAATTGTTAAATTATAATAATAGTATTCTAATAGTTATTTGTCATTTTGGAAAATCTTCTCAGACCATTTCAACAAACGCACTAGATGACGGGCTGGATGTCCGGTGGACCAATTTCTACGTTTCTTGGACACGGATAATAGCTGCCAAAGATTGTGTCAAATTTGATATAAACTTTGATATTTCTCAAATATAGTAGCTGCTATAAAGTGCCGTTGGAGTAGATTGTTTTTGTAGAGCTGCCAAATTACGACAATAGCAGTTCCAATGACAAGCCATTAGAGCTGCTCTTAGATCCAAATTTTAGCATATCCACATTAAAATTATTTGCTAACTAATTTATGCATAAGAAGACTAGTGGCATTTTCTAATAAGACGATCGTGCTTAAAGATTTTTATTATTTTACATTTAAATACTTTATCTATTATATTGCTAGAAGTATGTATATATTGAAGGAGATTATTGCATACCTGAGATGGTATTAGCATAACCTCGACCGTGAGTGATTAAGATAATAAAAATTATCATATTTATGTAGTATTAGACAATATAAGAGGATAATCATTTTTAATTGATGAAGAAACTGAAATTTATCAAATTTTTAAAGATAGTTGAAGAGTTTGACTAGAAGTGAACCCAAACAAGAGTTGTATGGGCACATCCAATTAGGAGTGGGGCGGTGTGCTTTTCTCCATCTATTTTTAGGCTGATGGCTATGCTCACAGCTCACATCATATAGAAAAGAAAGAATAAAAAAAATTATTAGATATTTTTGAAGTATTACGTAATATTGTTTATATGATATTTTTAGTCAATACTTTGGCTTCGTTTGGAAAGTTACTATTTTAGTAGGTTATTTTAGTTTTTGGCTATTTTAGTAGGCTAAAATTTTTGTGTTTAGGATGATGATTGGATTTTTTTGTGGTTGGATGTGATGTTTGTGAGAGAAAAAGTGAAATGATTATGGGTTTGATGTGATATTTTGTCTTATTAACTATTTTAGCCTATTTTGTCTTTTTGTGAATTTTAGCCTAAATTAGACTATTTTTTTTCTTGCCAAACACCCCCTTTATTATCTATTAATTATCTAATAAAAGTGAGATAACATATTATACTTATAATTTTTTTTATTACGTGATTGGTTTCAAATATTACGTAAGTAATATCTTGTGATAATATTTTAAGATTGATGAATAATTAAATAAACTAGTAGACCCATGTTAGATAAAGTGTGTATGAAAAGTTGTTTTGATAGTAGAATCCAAAATTTTGATAAGTTTTCGTAGACTGGGGGATAAAAAGGGCAGAGAATATATGATTGATTGGTGAGCGGTGAAGGAGAAGAGAGAAGGAGACCAACAACAGAGTCACATTCCATTAATGAATAACTTCAATGTTGCTCTTAGTCATGAGGAGGTGGAGGAGCCTCTCAAAAGAACTGGTAATTAATCTCTCTCTCTCTCCCTATTTTAGTAGGCTAAAATTTTTGTGTTTAGGAATATGATTGGAATTTTTTTGTGGTTGGATGTGATGTTTGTGAGAGAAAAAGTGAAATGATTATGGGTTTGATGTGATATTTTGTCTTATTAACTATTTTAGCCTATTTTGTCTTTTTGTGAATTTTAGCCTAAATTAGACTATTTTTTTTCTTGCCAAACACCCCCTTTATTATCTATTAATTATCTAATAAAAGTGAGATAACATATTATACTTATAATTTTTTTTATTACGTGATTGGTTTCAAATATTACGTAAGTAATATCTTGTGATAATATTTTAAGATTGATGAATAATTAAATAAACTAGTAGACCCATGTTAGATAAAGTGTGTATGAAAAGTTGTTTTGATAGTAGAATCCAAAATTTTGATAAGTTTTCGTAGACTGGGGGATAAAAAGGGCAGAGAATATATGATTGATTGGTGAGCGGTGAAGGAGAAGAGAGAAGGAGACCAACAACAGAGTCACATTCCATTAATGAATAACTTCAATGTTGCTCTTAGTCATGAGGAGGTGGAGGAGCCTCTCAAAAGAACTGGTAATTAATCTCTCTCTCTCTCTCTCACTCTCTCAAGTCTTAATTAATTACCCAACTTTTTTAGTTGTAGTTTCTATATATCATGTTTTGCTTAAACAAGGTTTTCCATTAATTGGAACTTTCCTTTCTTCTCCTAAAAAGAAGATAGTTGATGAAAATGTTTTCTCATATAGTTTCAACTCGATTCGGTGATAAGAAATGGTGAAGAAGATCTTAGTTAGACACAGGTGTTGTGTCAATCAAACACTCTTTGTTCTTTGAGGCTTAAGTCAGCGAATTTTGAATAGAATAAATTTAGAAAGAAATAGTGAAACAAAGAGTTCAGAATAAATTCAATTGCACTTTTGCCAATCATTTGTCTATATGTAGGGCTGCAAACGAGTTGAGTCAATTTTTTAAATGTTCAAAGTTCGTTTATTAAGAATTAGTCGAGCTCAAGTTCGAATTGAGCTCTACTCGAGTTTCAAAAATCGAGTTCGAGCTCAGCTCGTCAAATATTTGTTGAACGCGAACTCGGCTCGAGGTCGCCCAATTAGATAAATGAGCTGAGTTCGAGTTTGAAAAAAAAAACAAATTTAAATTTATTTATTTATTAAGATAAAAAAATTACAAAATTATGAGTAAAATTTATAATAATACAGATATTAATAATAAATTTCATCAATCAAATATGTAAATTTACACAAACACCAAACATAAATAAAAAATAAAATAGATTATTGAAAATTTATTTAATAGATTATTAAAAATAAATATTTATTTATTTATTTTTATGTTCACGAACCTTGTCGAGTTGAGCTTAGGACTACTCGAGTTTGGCTCGATTAATAAACGAGCCTAAAAATCAAGCTCGAACTCGTTCATTTAGTAAACGAGTTAAGCTCAAACAAGCTTTAAATTAGTCGAGTTTGAGTTGTTCATGAACAGTTTGGTTTGTTTGTAACCCTATTAACATATATCACAACATTAATTTATTAAAAAACAAATAATGAAGATTGTTGGTGGATTTTAATTATTAATTGGTTTAATGATCCTTTAATAAAGAGTTTTCACATGGTTACATGTGTGAGATTTGGTGTGGGAGGTTCATGGAACTTCATTCTGAAATTAGTCAATGGGTAAATGAGAGGATCCCCACAATAACTAGATAAAATAAGTTGTAAAGTGTCTTGTTAGATTTTAAATAAGCCCCTATATATAGAGATTAAACACAGAATGAGACATAATAATGTCTTATATCTTATTTTGTGTTTAGCTTTTATATTTCTAATAATACTGAGTGGACATAGATATAACTTGCAAGATTAGATCAAGCTCACATAAGCGGGAAAAAAATAAGTGGAGGGTGTCTTTCCAAATTTAGGAGCTATGCATCACTCCATTATTTCACCAATTTAGGACCCATTTCTAATTTCTTAGCTGTTTGTACGTGTAATACGACAGATTAGTTGGGTTACAGTATATAAAAGACAAAGTCAAAAATTTTCAGATAGCTTGAATTTCTTTCTATGCCCAATTACTTTCTATCTCTAATTTTGTATACACCTCATAATATGGGAGTTGTTTGAAATGATATAAATAAATATATTTTTTAATTTTTTATAAAAAAATATTATGTTAAATAGTGCCTAATATTATAATTTTAAGTTATTTATTTATTTATTTGTAACACTAATAAATTTATTTTTTTAATTTTTTTTTAATTTTTGTGTACTATTCTATTAGGAACGGTATGGACAGCAATTGCACATGTAATAACAGGGGTAATAGGGGCAGGAGTACTGTCCCTTGCATGGAGCACGGCTCAGCTAGGGTGGGTCGGTGGTCCACTCACTATGCTGGTCTTTGCTGCCATCACCATTGTTTCAGCAGACCTTCTCTGTGATTGCTACAGATCTCCTGATCCTGAATATGGCCCCACCAGGAGCAAATCCTATGTGGAAGCTGTTAAATTGTATTTAGGTCAGTGCTTTTCTCTACTAATATTTCAATTTTATTTATTAAAATAAAATTACCAAATCAACGGTTATTACATAAGAAATCCACTTGAAATCAAGGCATCATTGGGCGCGGGTCGGTTGCGGTCACGGAACTTTCAATCTGTCATCCGTCCGTCAGATTAGCGGATTGGAAAAAATCAATCCGCATCCGTTTGCCAATCTGGTGGATGTGGATTGAACGGATTGGCGGTTTGACGGTTTAAAATTTTATAAATTTTCAAAATAATTCAACTTGATAAGAAATCCACTTGAAATCAAGGCATCATTGGGCGCGGGTCGGTTGCGGTCACGGAACTTTCAATCTGTCATCCGTCCGTCAGATTGGCGGATTGGAAAAAATCAATCCGCATCCGTTTGTCAATCCGGTGGATGTGGATTGAGCGGATTGACGGTTTGGCGGTTTAAAATTTTATAAATTTTCAACATAATTCAACTTGTGCACTTCCTCAAAAAAAAAAAAAAAAGAAGAGAAGAAAGTATTACAGTTAATGACTTAAAAAAATACTACAATTACTGTATGCCTCATCCAAAGTAAGAAAGTTTGAAACTTTAGAATATCACAATCAGTGTATGCCTCATCCACATACTACAATCACAGCATGTCTCATCCACATAAAGTATTGCAATCCGTGATTCTTAAAATATAAAACAATTCAAACCACTAAAAGTATGAACAAAGCAGTAGTAGAGATTGTATGTCTCTGTGTTGTTACATCTATATCTGTTTTTGAAAACAAAAATCGACCAGCATATATCATATTTTCTATTTATTATTTTTAGAGATAGATTTAAAAACAAAAAAATATAGATAAATAATACGTTTATTTTTTTCAATTCAAAAAAGATATTCAAGTTGAAAACTTTTTTTCTACAGAATATTTAATTTTTTTTTAATTGAAAACACAAACAGAATATTTAAACAAACTGAAAACACAAAGTCTTATAAATTACTAGGGGTGTTCGCGGTTTGGCGGTTCGATTGCGGCCAAAGGAATCTCAAATCCGCCATCTGTTCATTAGATTGGCGGATTAGAGAAAATCAATCTGCAACCGTCCGTTCGTCATCACACATCCGTCCAAAATGTGGCGGATCGGTTCGGTTCGGTCTGTTTTGGCTGATCCGTATATCCGCTGCTCACCCCTTTGTGGGCTTGATCCTACATTAATCAATTTTTTTTTTTTTTTTTCTCCAGATTTTGGGATGGGGTTAAAATGTTAATTTCTTGTATGAATATTCAAAATTGCATAGACTAATCAAATTTTATTTTGTGCAGTTTGAGAAAGTTGAAGTAAAATTATATAGATTTAGAGAGCTAATATATATATATATATATATATTATATTATAATAAATGCTTAAAATTGCATTGAACTAATCAAGATTTCGAAAATTTTCCCACCTGGCCTTGGCCCCTTTATGTTCACCAATTTTCGTAGCATAACTGAAGGTGATATTAACTATAATGGCTTTGTGGTATCAAATAGTTTTAAATAAAGTCCAGTCAGGCGGTTTAGTTGTTTAAGTGAAAAATCTCAACTCACTTGTTTGGTTAGTAAGAGATCATGTGCAAAAATGACAGTGTTGTGGGTGTTGTGCCCCATATTCATTCTTATAAAAGAGTACTACCCAAGAACAACCCCCCCACCACACACACACAAATTGAGTAATTCCAAACCACCACATTCTACTGAGGTTAATTTTCTTGGACAAATTATTATTTTTTTTGAAAAGGCATAAGAGATGATGAATTTGTAATTGTTTTTTCATGAGAGAACAGTAAAAGAATAAGTGGACTGTTTTTGCAGGAAAGCATGTATGGGTGTGGAGTCGCCTTTGTTATTACCTCCGCAGCTAGTGTTAGGTACGCTATTTTGTCCATGTGTATAGAATCTGATTATAGAATTATACATAACTCATGTATGAGAGTTGTGTTACAACTTTCATTTTTTTGTTTTGTTTTGTTTTTTTTTTGAAGTCCCTTTGTATTTATTTAAATGGGTATATGAAATTACAGAGCAATTCAGAAATCAAACTGTTATCACAAAGAAGGGCACGAGGCTTCATGTGACTATGGGGATACAGTGTATATGGTGCTATTTGGAGTAGTACAGATTGTAGCGTCACAGATTCCAGATTTCCACAACATGGCATGGCTCTCTTTTGTTGCAGCAATCATGTCCTTCTTTTACGCTTCCATTGGCTTTGTACTTGGCTTTGCAACTGTCATTAGTATGCCTTCAAATACTTAAAGATATAGTCTATCCCCCCAATTTTTTTTTTTTTAAGATATGATATGAATTATATATATTGTGGGGCTATTTTTACTTTGATTAGAGTAGGATATAATACGGAATCAAATGAGACTGATTTCTTTTTGACCATTGGATGAAGGATGAACTTATATCTGGTGATAGAGGACAAGCAATATCCCACTCTTTTGAGGGATATAATATCTGAACTCCTTATATACAGAGGAACCAAATATGGGATATAGAGAGGCAAAAAAACTTGTAAATCCCATTAGATTTTATATCTAGTCAAACACTTATATCCCCATCGATATACCCAGCCAGGGCCAAAAGGTCTTGTGCAAACATGCATTTAAGAGGGTGAACTTTGAGACTAGCTATAATTCGGACATCTTGGGTTCGATTCTCGTTAATGTCTTCTGAGCGTAATTGATACTTGTGATTTGTTGATAATTTTAAATATCCGAGATTTAGTCTATAGGGCAAGTTTAGAAAACCTTGCCTGGGAAGCAACTCCCTTAAAAATAGTAAAAGTCGACATAATTTTGAATTTCAACTAGAAATGAAGCTAATCTCTTATAAATTATAAAATTTAATCCCAAATCCTTTGATTTGAAATCAACTTATCCAAACGGTTTCTTGCTTTTGAAATTGCAGAAAATAAGAAGATCATGGGGAGCATTGGAGGAGTCCCAGCAGGCACTGCAACTAAGAAATTGTGGTTGGTCTTTCAAGCACTTGGAGATGTTGCTTTTGCCTATCCATATACAATGATTCTTTTAGAAATACAGGTATAGTTTATTCTCTCCGTTTGATAAATTTCACACTTCTATATGTTTCAAGAATTTTTAAAAAAGAAAAATATGTAAAATTGAATGCAATGAAAAGGATACTTTGAAGTCGCCTCCGCCAGAAAACCGGGCCATGAAGAAGGCCTCCATGTCTGCAATCTTTATCACCACCTTCTTCTACCTCTGTTGTGGATGCTTCGGATACGCAGCCTTCGGGGATAAAACACCTGGAAACCTCTTGTCAGGATTCGGATTCTATGAGCCCTTCTGGCTCATTGATTTCGCTAATGCTTGCATTATTCTACATCTAGTTGGAGGATATCAGGTATATAAACATTGTTTCATTTCAATTTTGATGATGTTACTTTATCTTCGCTGCAGAGATATAATAACATCATGATGTTAGCATAGGAATGCAATATCTTTGTCATTGCTCTGCTTACATATTCGCCATCACAGATGCTTACTACGGCCATTCACATTCATTTGTTAGGTATACAGTCAGCCAGTGTTTGCAATTGCAGAAAGATGGTTTGGTAAGAAGTATCCAAACAGCGGATTTGTGAACAATTTCTACAACTTCAAGCTCCCATTGTTGCCGGGTTTTCAGTTGAATCCGCTTAGGCTATGTTTTCGGACATTTTATGTTATATCAACCACCGTAATTGCAGTGATCTTCCCTTACTTTAACCAAGTTTTGGGAGTGTTAGGGGCACTAAACTTTTGGCCCTTGGCAATATATTTCCCTGTGGAAATGTACCTTGTGCAGAAGAAGATTGGGGCTTGGACTACAAAGTGGATTGTTCTTCAAACTTTTAGCATTGTTTGCTTGATTGTCTCAATACTGGCCTTGATTGGGTCAGTTGAAGGACTTATAAGGGCAAAACTGAGCTAAGGAAAATGTTTTTTCTTTTTTTTTTTTTTTACTTCAGAATTTTCATACAGTATCATTCATCAGAATAGTGTGTTAGTGATATTTTTGATATTACAGTGTTTGGGATTTTTGTTTTAATGTGATAGGCACTTAAGTTTGTTATTGCATTCTATATGTATTTTTTGAAATCTATAACGTGCATATGTAAAAAGAGCACATTTTAAGAAATGTTACGCTATTTCATCATGCTAGTTATGTCATTTTGTAATAAAAGTTAAAACTAAAGTTATTAGCCATTGTAGTAATATTTGTTCTTGATAAGATAAAGCAAAGGATTTGCTATAAGTGCAATTTTTTGAATAATTTTTCAAGGTAAATTATACTGACACCTCTTGAAATTTATATTTATTACAATTCTCTCCCTCATCTTTTGGAAATTACGTCTCCCCCCTGAAGTTTAAAGTTTTATTACAGATTCCTCCCTCAGCAATTTAATTTTTTTAAATACCAATTTTGCCCTCACTGGGTAAATTACATTGACACCCCTCACAGTTTAGAAATTACAATCCACTCCCTAAGGTTTAAAGTAGCATTACCAATTACCCCTTTGTTAGTATTAGTTGGAAAAAAAAAATTAATTGGAAAAAAAATTTTGTTAGTAAAATTTTTAAATTTTTGTTTAAAAACCAACGTAAACTCATTTTTTGAATTTACGTTTTTTCCTCAAATTTACAAACTGAGACAACCATTTATAAACCAAAAAAATTATCAAATAAGTTTTTATGACAGTTTAAATTTTTGTAAATATAAATTGAAAACTGAAAATGAAATGGTTATCAAAACAGGCCTCAAACGGGAAAAATGTCGTAAAATTAACAAATAATTAAATAAGTTACCAACGTAAGAAATGACTTATCAAAAGATTCTTAGGTTATGTATGGTTTGATTTTTAGAAATTTATTTTAAAAATTAAAAATTAATTTGGTTAAGAAATAAAAAATAATTATCATTTAAGGGTAAAAAATAATTATTATTTTAACTTTTGGGCAGATTATATACATGTGTGTGGCTGTTTCAATTTAATTTTTAAAAAATTATTTCTAACCACTCGAAAGATAAAAATAATATAAAAATGATAATTATTTTTTATTTCTTATTTCTTAACTGAATTAATTTTTTTATTTTTAAGAAAAATTTCTAAAAATCAAACCATACATAGCCTAAGAATCTTTTGATAAGTCATTTCTTACGTTAGTAACTTATTTAATTATTTATTAATTTTATGACATTTTTACCATCTGAAGTCTGTTTGGTAACCATTTAGTTTTCAGTTTTCAATTTATATTTACAAAAATTTTAAAAACTGTCATAAAAACTTGGTTGATAATTTTTTTGATTTATAAATGGTACTCTCAATTGTAAATTTGAGGAAAAAACGTAAATTCAAAAAATATGCTTATGTTGGTTTTTAAATAAAAATTAAAAAATTTTACTAACAAATTTTTTTTTCAATTAATTTTTTTTAATGATTTTTTTTTTCAACTAATATTAACCGAGGGGACAATTAGTAATGCTACTTTAAATCTTAGGGAGGGGATTATAATTTTTAAAATGTGAAGGGTGTCAATGTAATTTACCTAATGAGGGCAAAATTTATATTTAAAAAAATTAAATTGCTGAGGGGGGAATCTGTAATGAAACTTGACAGATGTAATTTTTAAAAAGTGAGGGAGGAACTATAACAAATATAAATCTTAAGGGGTGTCAGTATAATTTACCCAATTTTTAAATAACAAGAAAATTATTTGTACATAAATCAAATGAATCGAATCACAAAGGATTGGAAATCTAATGATGCCTGACAATCTTTTTTTTCTTCTTTTTTTTTTTTTTTTTTTTTTTTTAAGACAACCAGTTCTAGTTTCAAGAAAAGTCTACTATACACTTCCCAATAATTACAAAAATTGTTTTGTAATTAATTGAAATGATTTAATTACTTTTTTGAATTCATGAGCCATAATTATAATTTTTAATTATTTAAGAGATACTTTAGAATCTTGAGACCCCTATTTGGTCTCATGTTTGGAAGGGAGTCTCATGTTTGGAAGGGGCTGAATTAAGAAGATCCCCTAATTTTGTTCATAAATTTCTATTATTCTCTATTGGTGGAATTGAGTGTTGAATCCTGTCATACTATTGAATTAAAAAATTATACAATGAAACCAAATATATAATAAATTAGTTCCATTAATAATTAACCCAATCCCCCATAAGTTTTAGTTTGAAATTGGTAATTCTTTCTTTCTTTTCTTTTCTTTTCTTTTCTTTCTTTTTATATTAATTTTAAGAAACATTTGAGCTAATTCCAAACAACCCTCAGGTCATGTTTGATTCACAAAACTAGTAGTGAAGTATTAATAATCCTATTAAATTAGTCTGGTATTCACTATCCAATTGGATTAATATTCATTGGATTAATAATCTCACCCCTACCCCCATTACTAATAATCCTACAAATTTGTTGGATTAATTATCCATTGGATTAATAATCCTAAAACAAAATGTTAAAACAAACATAAGATAATTGGGTCCACGGATTAATAATTCTAATCCCATGCTCTAATCCACCCAATCAAACATGTCCAAAGTTCTCTTGAACAGTACTATTTCCATGATTCCAACGTGTTGTCTCTCTCTCACTCTATGTGGATACAAAAACATGTGTGTATATATAATATACAAAAAAAAAATATATAAAAGTTGAGTAGTGAGGAGGGTTGTGTTGAAAGAAATTAAGTAAATTCTTCTGCAAAGGCCATGGGAGTGGTAACTGAGGTTAATCATCAGACTCCATTCTTGTTGCAATCAAGCCTTGCTTTGTCTCCTCATGATCAACCCATCCACAGAACTGGTTTGTCTACTACTACACTCTTTATTTTTCTGTTAATTTCTCTTTCTCTTTTTCCTTCTCTATTCGATTCAAAATAAATGTTAACTTCGCATAACCGAAAAAGAAAGGAAAGAAAGATAGAAAATGTTATTGGCTCTAAATTTTTTATCAAATAAATAACTAAATATCTTACATGATGGGGATTGCGGACTTCACATTTATATCAAATATTTGTTCATTTATTTGATAGAAAATTTAGTATAACTAACATTATTCAAAAAGATGGTTTGGGGAAAAATTAATCTCCACGTCAGCAAATATTTTCCTAGATATGAAGAAAGGCATCTATTAGATAAAATAATAGAGCAATGATGAATGAGATTAGACTGCTCATGACACTAGAAATTTTAATGTAAGTCCACGGTCATATATATATATATATATATATATATGGGTAAATTATATTAATATTTCTTGAGATTTATGTTTATTACAGTTTTTCTTATCTTTTGAAAATTATATCTTCCCATCTGAGGTTTAAAGTTTCATTACAGATTTTCCTCTCAGCCCTTTTAATTTTTTTTAAATACCAATTTTACCCTTATTGGGTAAATTACATTGACACTCCTCACATTTTAAAAATTACAATCCCCTCCCTAAGGTTTAAAGTAGTATTACCAATTGCCCCCTTGGTTAGTATTAGTTGAAAAAAAAAAATCATTGAAAAAAAATTAATTGGAAAAAAATTAATTGAAAAAATATTTAATTGAAAAAAAAAAATTTGTTAGCAAATTTTTTAAATTTTTGTTTAAAAACCAACGTAAACTCATTTTTTGAATTTATATTTTTTTTCTCAAATTTACGAACTGAGACAACCATTTAATAACCAAAAAAATTATCAAACAAGTTTTTATAACAGTTTTTAAAATTTTTGTAAGTATAAATTGAAAACTAAAAACGAAATGGTTACCAAACAAGTCTCAGATGGTAAAAATATCGTAAAATAAATAAATAATTAAATAAGTTACCAACGTAAGAAATGACTTATCAAAATATTCTTGGGCCATTTCTTAAACGAAATGAAATTATTTTTTAAACGAAATGAAAATTATTTTTTTATTTTTTATTTCTTAACCAAATTAATTTTTAATTTAAAAATCAAACCATACATAGCCTAAGAATCTTTTGATAAATCATTTCTTATGTTGGTAACTTATTTGATTATTTGTTAATTTTACGACATTTTTACCATTTGAGACCTGTTTGGTAACCATTTCATTTTTAGTTTTCAATTTATATTTACAAAAATTTAAAAAACTGTCATAAAAACTTGTTTGATAATTTTTTTGGTTTATAAATGGTTGTCTCAGTTTGTAAATTTGAGAAAAAAACCTAAATTCAAAAAATGAGTTTAAGTTGGTTTTTAAACAAAAATTTAAAAATTTTACTAGCAAAATTTTTTTTTCAATGATTTTTTTTTCTTCTAACTAATACTAACTGAGGGGGCAATTGGTAATGTTACTTTAGACCTTAGGAAGGGGATTGTAATTTTTAAAAGGTGAGGGGTGTCAATGTAATTTACCAAATGAGGGTAAAATTGGTATTTAAAAAAAATTAAAAAGGCTGAAGGGGGAATCTGTAATGAAACTTTAAACCTCAGGGGGAGATGTAATTTCCAAAAGGTAAGAGAAGGAGCTGTAATAAACATAAAGCTCAGGGGGTGTCAGTGTAATTTACCCTATATATATTGTCATTTTCATACTTTTTTTTGTTTTTAAAATTATGCAATTTTTAAGACCCTGCTATTCATGTTACCGCCAACATAGGACTTTTAAAAGATAAGATAATTTCTCAATATCATAACAAATCATTTTATGAAAAATAATTGAGTGTCACGTGTGATAATGTTCAAAAGATGATCCATACCATCTATTGGTAGAGTCCACACCAATTGATGTGGGATCTACTTCAATAAATGGTGTAGATTATATTTGAGTCATTACTACATGTGGCAATGAATTACTGTTCTTTTTTCATTGTTGGTTTGTTATATAATTTCAGTAATGTTTGGAATATTAATCAATATGGGTATCGTAATTAAATAGATCACAATGAGTAATAATAATTAAACATTACTTGATACATAGTCAAAGACTTCTATGGTCATAATCAAACTTAATTATAATTAACACCACAATATATCATAATTAATATTATTATGAGTCATAATAAAAAATTACAAATCATACACCATTTTATTAAGATGTATTCCTTCCGTCCCATTGTTGGTCCACTATTTCATTTTAGGATGTTCCAAAATAATAGTCCCATTTGAAAAGTCAAAGTAAAAAATATTTAATTTTTTAAAATTACCCTTTTTGAGTAATTATAAATATATTAAAATTTTGAAAAGATAGGGACATTAGTGAAAAAATACTTTGAAATTTAAATTTAAGTGTAATGATTGCATGTCCCTTAAAAAGTTAAAATCTTCACAAAAAAAAGACTAATAAATTGGGATGGATGGGGTAATAAAATTTTCCTAATCTATATACCAATGTACATTGGTAATGTAGTTAATATTGTTAATTAGTCAAAGAAGCAGTAATCAATGTCAATAATTAGATGCACACCCTTAGATGGAACTTTTGAGGGTAATATATTTGCACTAAAAAAGTGTGTTTTTTTTTTTTTTGTATACAAACACTTATTTAGGTCAAATCAATCAACATCTATCAATATCTCCTCTATTTTTCTACACATTTTTTTTATTTATAAAAAGTCAAAATGTACAATTTTTTAAAACATCCTAAACCACCCCTTAGATGGAACTTTTGACGGTAATGTATTTATTTATTTTTTGAATTATAGAAATGAATTTGATTATTGAAAATAATAAATGGAAATGGTGAAACAGGAAATGAATGGACAGCGGTGGCCCACATAATAACAGGAGTGATAGGGTCAGGGGTTCTATCACTGGCGTGGTGTATGGCTCAGCTAGGTTGGATTGGAGGCTCATTCTCTATGCTCTTCTTTGCTTTCATCACTCTCGTCTCTGCCTTTCTTCTCTCCAACTGCTACAGATCTCCTTACCCTGAGCTTGGCCCCACTAGAAACCACTCCTACTTGGAAGCTGTCCACTTCAATTTAGGTAACATTGTCATTACAGTTCTTCCATCTGCACAAAAATTAATAATAGAATCGAACACAAATTTTTTGTATAAATATGAGATTCACCTCATGTGAGACGATTATGTCTAATTCTATAATTGATTTTTTTGTTTCTAGAATTTTTCTTATGGTGTTTTTAACATGGCATTTTCAGGAGAGAGAAGTTCTTGGGCATGTGGACTTTGTGTAAATATTAACTTATATGGGATTGGCATTGCCTACACCATTACTTCTGCTATCAGCATGAGGTGCTCTATATATATTTATGTTCTTTCAAAATTTTTATTTTTTATTTATTGAAAAGTAACATGAGTTATGTAATATATGTTACCCCACAATATTTGATTAGCTCAACAAGAATTAATTTGGAGCATTTACTATGATTTGAAACTGTGAACACATGTATACCTTCTTATTATGGTGATGTTTAATCTTTTTGTTTTCCCAAATTTTAAATTGATGCAGAGCAATACAGAAATCAAATTGTTACCACAGTATGGGCATGAGGTTAATTGTGAATATGGAGATACTTATTATATGCTAATATTTGGATTATCACAAATTGTGGTTTCTCAAATACCCAATTTTCATAATATGGAATGACTCTCTGTTGTTGCTGCAACCATGTCCTTCAAGGCATGTCTCAAATACCCAATTTTCTCCATTATGGTGTTTCTTCTTGTATTGATGTAGTTGTTGTTGGAATTGGGCTTGCAGGTGGGTATGTGTTGTTAGACTTTCTTATATAGTTGATTGTTCAGTTTGATATAATTTTCTTTAACATTTTTGTAAATAATCTTTTACCATTTGAAATTATGTGCTTAGGAGAGCTTTTGTGTTAGGTGTAATTATCATGTCTTCCTGAAACATCGCATTGGTCGTGCGTTTGCCAAATAAAAAGAAATTATGTGCTTACATGCCTTGAAAAAATATGAATAAGTAAACCAATCAAAAGTTTCGGTGCATATATGTTGATTTAATCATGAATTTCTTCAACATTCAATTGCAGGAGATGGAGTAATCAAAGGTAACATTGCAGGAGTCTCAACTTCTACTACACTTGAGAAAGTATGGTTGGTTTCTCAAGCACTTGGGGACATTGCTTTTGCCTATTCATACTCCATCATTCTCATTGAAATACAGGTAAGCCACTTTCAATTTTTAATTTCCGATCAGTTGCACTAGGAATACAGAAAAATTTCAAAGAATGAAACACCGATGTTCTGTGAAATTTCTTTGTGTACTTGGACTTTCTCATTCTCGATCAATTACCAAGTCCAACTTCACATAACCAATGAAGAATCTCAAGTTAATGTGATTGAAAATTGCAAAAACACACCAAAGGATACTTTGAAGTCGCCTCCACCGGAAAATGAGATAATGAAGAAGGCCTCAACTATAGCAGTATGCATCACAACTTTCTTCTACCTCTGCTGCGGCGGCTTCGGATATGCAGCCTTCGGTGATTCAACTCCGGGGAGCCTCTTGACTGGCTTAAGATTCTATGAGCCTTACTAGCTTATTGACTTTGCTAATGCTTGCATTGTTCTTCATTTGGTTGGAGGATATCAGGTACTACCTGTTAGACATATCACTTGATCTTTTTCTTTTCTTTTTTCGTTAGGATAGTTATGAAGGCAGGGGATCCTCTGTCAAATTTTCTTTTCCCTTGTCCCGATGCCCCTCTAATCCATTGTGTGATAGAGATGGGGGGCCTTGGGATAGAGGATAAGGAAGAATCCAGATAGATAATCTAGCCTCTACATTATAGATGTCTTTCAATAACACCCACTTGATGTGTTCGGTTAGACTTTGGAGCGATTAGGTTATGTGATTGGACTCCATATTATGGTCATTTTCGAATTTCATGTTTGGATACAAAAATAAACGTTTAGATTGATAGTCCCTCTGGACTGTATATCCCTCATAAAAGGGACTATTGAGTCCATGCTTAGTGGTTAAGGGGATGGGATACAAAACAAGAGGATTAAGGAAGATCTAGATTAGGGGGTTAAAAGGTTAAAATATCCTCGAACTATGGTCATTGTACTATGTAGTCCATGTTTAGTGGTTCAAAACAAACATAAGATAGGATAGGGTTCTTCCAATCTCCCTTCTAATCTAGGGACATTCCAAATATGGGACAAGGTTAAAATATCCTCAAACTATTTTCATTGTACTATGCAGTCCATGTTTAGTGGTTCAAAACAAACATAAGATAGGATAGGGTTCTTCCAATCTCCCTTCTAATCTAGGGACATTCCAAATATGGGACAAGGTTAAAATATCCTCAAACTATGGTCATTGTACTATGCAGTCCATGTTTAGTGGTTCAAAACACACATACGATAGGATAGGATTCTTTTAATCCCCCTCCTAATCTAGGGCATTCCAAATGTGGGATAAGATTCATTGATAAGCCCAAAACTATTGATCCCAAGACTAATAATTTCATATAATCTAATCCAAAAACCCTACTTCAATTTGCTTAGTTGCTTTCAATTACCCCTCATGCTGTCAAAAAATCCCATATAAGTGGTAAATTTGCTTTAGTTCAATATAAATTATATGTATGATCAGTACTGTTTATCTAATTTTTTCTTCTTCTTTTTTTTAGCAAATAAAATCATAATTCCTTTCCATATTTGTATTTTGGCAGGTATTCAGTCAGCCACTTTTTGCACTGGTAGACAAATGGTTTGCAAGGAAGTTCCCAAACAGTGGATTTGTGAACAATGGCTACACTTTGAAACTTCCTTTTTTTCCAATTCTCAGACTAAATCTTCTCAGACTCTGTTTTCGCACAACTTACGTGGCGTCAACAACTGTGATTGCGATGATCTTTCCATACTTCAACCAAGTTTTGGGAGTTTTGGGAGCCTTAAATTTTTGGACAATTTCTATATATTTTCCGGTGGAAATGTACTTCGTGTAGATGAACATTGGAGCTTGGTCGACTAAGTGGATCGCTCTTCATACTTTTAGCATTGTTTGTTTGCTTGTGACTATGTTCGCGTTGGTCGGGTCAATTGAGGGACTTATATTAGCAAAGTTGGGCTGAGAAAAACTATATGTTCTTGTTTAAGTGAAGAATGAATAATGATAGCAGCCCCGGTTGGATATATGGGAAGTTGTTTAATTGTCTCTTCTATATATAGGAGTTGTAATACATAACACAATATCAATCAATCTTGTATCAATACTTCAATCAATAATATTTCAATTTTAACAATGCATCACAACTTTCTTCTACCTCTGCTGCGGCGGCTTCGGATATGCAGCCTTCGGTGATTCAACACCGGGGATCCTCTTGACTGGCTTCGGATTCTATGAGCCTTACTGGCTTATTGACTTTGCTAACGCTTGCATTGTTCTTCATTTGGTTGGAGGATATCAGGTACTACCTGTTAGACATATCACTTGATCTTTTTTTTTTTCCTTTTTTCGTTAGCATAGTTATGGAGGCAGGGGATCCTCTGTCAAATTTTCCTTTCCCTTATCCCGATGCCCCTCTAATCCATTGTGTGATAGAGATGGGGGGCCTTGGGATAGAGGATAAGGAAGAATCCAGATAGATAATCTAGCCTCTTCATTATAGATGTCTTTCAATAACACCCACTTGATGTGTTCGGTTGGACTTTGGAGCGATTAGGTTATGTGATTGGACTCTATATTATGGTCATTTTCGAATTTCATGTTTGGATACAAAAATAAACGTTTAGATTGATAGTCCTTTTGGACTGTATATCCCTCATAAAAGGGACTATTGAGTCCATGCGTAGTGGTTAAGGGGATGGGATATAAAACAAGAGGATTAAGGAAGATCTAGATTAGGGGGTTAAAAGGTTAAAATATCCTCGAACTATGGTCATTGTACTATGTAGTCCATGTTTAGTGGTTCAAAAAAAACATAAGATAGGATAGGATTCTTCCAATCTCCCTCCTAATCTAGGGACATTCCAAATATGGGACAAGGTTAAAATATCCTCAAACTATGGTCATTGTACTATGCAGTCCATGTTTAGTGGTTCAAAACACACATACGATAGGATAGGATTCTTTTAATCCCCCTCCTAATCTAGGGCATTCCAAATGTGGGATAAGATTCATTGATAAGCCCAAAACTATTGATCCCAAGACTAATAATTTCTTATAATCAATCCAAAAACCCTACTTAAATTTGCTTAGTTGCTTTCAATTACCCCTCATGTTGTCAAAAAATCCCATATAAGTGGTAAATTTGCTTTAGTTCAATATAAATTGTATGTATGATCAATACTATTTATCTATTTTTTTTTCTTCTTTTTTTTTAGCAAATAAAATCGTAATTCCTTTCCATATTTGTATTTTGGCAGGTATTTAGTCAGCCACTTTTTGCACTGGTAGACAAATGGTTTGCAAGGAAGTTCCCAAACAGTGGATTTGTGAACAATGACTACACTTTGAAACTTCCCTTTTTCCCAATTCTCAGACTAAATCTTCTCATACTTTGTTTTCGCACAACTTGTGTGGCGTCAACAATTGTGATTGCGATGATCTTTCCATACTTCAACCAAGTTTTGGGAGTTTTGGGAGCCTTGAATTTTTGGCCACTTTCTATATATTTTCCTATGGAAATGTACTTCATGCAGACGAACATTGAAGCATGGTCGACTAAGTGGATCGCTCTTCATGCTTTTAGCATTGTTTGTTTGCTTATGACTATGTTCGCGTTGGTCGGGTCAATTGAGGGACTTACATCAGCAAAGTTGAGCTGAGAAAAACTATGTTCTTGTCTCAGTGAAGAATGAATAATGATAGCAGCCCCGGTTGGATATATGGGAAGTTGTTTAATTGTTTTGTGAATTGTTAACAAAGAACAATAGCTTAAGATTATGTTTTGGGCATATCTCTAGATTTTTATTAGAGTGGCCTCAGCATTGTTAGGATTACTATGATTTTTTTTTAAACTTCTTTCTTGTTGTCTAAATTTTTCTCTTGTATTTTTTTTGTGATTTTCTTATTGAGAAATGTTTTATGTAAAACATTTTTTTTAATCACAATTTCTTGTCAATAAGCAAGTAGGTTTAAGAAATTTATTGTATTTGTTGCTTGTGTTTAAAAGTAAGAAATATATTTATAAATAAATAGCGTTATTCATTTTTAATGTGAATCATACTTGTTGACGTGGTAGGAGTGGTCGATAGGGTTATTAACGATGGCCATAGTAACAATAGTGATGAGGAGATAATGTTGGTAGGTGTGGAGGTGGTGGTAGTTGGACAACAGGGATGGCTATAGGTGTGGTAGTGGTGACACCCTTGAGATTTTTATTTAATACAAATCCCTCTCATGTTTGAAATATTATGTTTCTCTCTTTGAGATTTATAATCTTATTATAAATTGCCTCTTGAATTGCAGATGTACTACCTAAATTTTTTGTAAATGACCATTTTGCCCTTTTCCTACAATTTATTCTTCCTATTATCATGATTACATTATCATTAAATTCTACCCGAACATATTCTTATTGAGTAATATTATACAAATATAAAATTTATATAAAATTTTCAAACACAATGATATAACTTAATGGTGACTTTTCACTTTAAAACAAAAAACTCATAAACATGATTTATATTTACAACATCACTATCACAATATTTTTATGATATATTTTTATATAAAATTTTATATATGAATAGAATTTTTCATTTTTATTTCCATTATCATTTTTCTTTCTCGTCTATTCACTAACATTTATTACAGTATTATCAAACACTGTTATTCACATTTATTATAGTATTACCGAATTTTTGTATTCTTATAATTTTTGTATTTGGTGAATTTTTTAAAAAAAAATCACAAAATATTATACTTCTTAAGTATATCTAAATTAGGTGTATCTACAAAAATTTTAAAAAAAGGGCTTAAAATATTAAAAAAAATAAGTAAAAATAAAAAGACGTGAAAAATTTTAAAAATTTAATTTTTTGATAGCGTCACAGACTCCAAATTTCCACAACATGGCATGGCTCTCTTTTGTTGCCGCAATCATGTCCTTCTACTCTTTCATTGGCTTTGTACTTTGCTTTGCAACTGTCATTGGTATGCCTTCAAATTCCCTAAGCCCCCTCTCCTCTTTTTTTTTTAGGATATGATATGAATTATATATATTATGGGGCCATTTTTACTACATTTGATTAGTGTAGGATATAATATGGAATCAGACGAGATTGATTTATTTTTGACTATTGGATGAAGGATGAACTTACATCTGGTGATAGAGGATTTGCAATATCCCACCCTTTTGAGGGATATAATATTTGAACTTCTTACATACAGAGGAACCAAACATGGGATATAGGGAGGCAAAAAAACTTGCAAATCCAATCAGATTTTATATCCGGTCAAACACCCATATCCCTATCGATATACCCCGAACAAACAAGGCCTAAAGGTCTGGTGCAAACATGTATTTAAGAGAACGAACTCTAAGCCTAGTTATAAATTCGAACATCTTGGATTTGATTCTCGTTAATATCTTCTGAGCTTAATTGATACTTGTGATTTGTTGGTAAATTTAAATATCCAGAATTTAGTCTATAGGGCAAGTCCAGAGAACCTTGCCTTGGGAAGCAACTCCCTTAAAGTTGACATAATTTTGACCTTTCGACTAGAAATGAAGCAAATCTCTTATAAATTATAAAATTTAATTTCAAATCCCTTGATTTGAAATCAACTCATCCAAACGGTTTCTTGCTTTTGCAATTGCAGAAAATAAGATGATCATGGGGAGCGTTGGAGGAGTCCCAGCAGCCACTACAACTGAGAAATTGTGGTTGGTTTTTCAAGCACTTGGAGATGTTGCTTTTGCTATCCATATACAATTATTTTTCTATAAATACAGGTATAGTTTATTCTCTCCGTTTGATAAATTTCACATTTCTACATGTTTCAAGAATTTTTAAGAAAGAAAAATATGTAAAATTGAATGCAATGAAAAGGATACTTTGAAATCGCCTCCACCAGAAAACCAGACCATGAAGAAGGCCTCCATATTTGCAATCTTCATCACCACCTTCTTCGACCTCTGTTGTGGATGCTTCGAATACGCAGCCTTTGGGGATAAAACACCGGGAAACCTCTTGTCAGGATTCGGATTCTATGAGCCCTTCTGGCTCATGGATTTCGCTAATGCTTGCATTATTCTATATTTGGTTGGAGGATATTAGGTATATAAATATCGTTTCATTTCAATTTTGATGATGTTACTTTATCTTCGCTGCAAAAATATAATAACATCATCATGTTAACATAGGAATGCAATGATAAAGATATAATAACATCATTATGTTATCATATCTTTGTCATTGCCCTACTTACATATTTGCCATCACAAATGCTTACTAGGGCCATTTACATTCATTTGTTAGGTATACAGTCAGCCAGTGTTTGCAATTGTAGAAAGATGGCTTGGTCAGAAGTATCCAAACAGCGGATTTGTGAACAATTTCAACAACTTCAAGCTCCCATTGTTGCCGGGTTTTGAATCCGCCTAGGCTACGTTTTCGGACATTTTATGTTATATCAACCACCGTAATTGCAGTGATCTTCCCTTACTTCAACCAAGTTTTGGGAGTGTTAGGGGCACTGAACTTTTGGCCCTTGGCAATATATTTCCCCGTGGAAATGTACTTTGTGTAGAAGAAGATTGGGGCAAAACTGAGCTAAGGAAAATGGCTTTTTTTTTTTTTTGTACTTCAGAATTTTCATAGAGTATCATTCACAGAATAGTGTGTTTGTGATAATTTTGATATTACAAAGTGTTTGAGATTTTTGTTTTAAAGCAATAAGCGTAGAAGTTTGTTATAGCATTCTATATGTATTTTTTGAAATCTATAACATGCATCTGTAAAAAGAGCACATTGTAAGAAATGTTACGCTATTTCGTAGTGTTAGTTATGTTATTTTGTAATAAAAGTTAAAATTAAAGTTATTAACCATTGTGGTAATGTTTGTTCTAGATAAGATAAAGCAAAGGGTTTGCTACAAGTGCAATTTTTTGAACAATTTTTACATAACAAAAAAAATATTTACATGAATCAAATGAATCAAATCACAAAGGATTGGAAATCTGATATGATGCCTGACAATCTTTCGTTCTCCTCTTCTTTTGTTTTTTATTTTTTAAGACACCTAATTTCAGTTTCAGAAAAAGTCTACTATACATTGCTCAATAATTACAAAAGTTATTTTGTAATTAATTAAAATGATTTAATTACTTTTAGAATTCATGAGCCATAATTACAATTTTTAATTATTTAAGGGATACTATAGAATCTTGAGACACGTACTTGGTCTCATGTTTGGAAGGGACTAGATTGAGAGGATCCCCTAATTTTGTTCATAAATTTCTATTATTCTCCATTGGTGGAATTAAGTGTTGAATCTTGTCACACTATTGAATTATAAAATTATACAATCAAACTAAATATATAATAAATTAGTTCCATTAATAATTAACCCAATCCCCTATAAGTTTTAGTCTGAAATTGGTAATTCTTTCATTCTTTTCTTTTTTTATTTTATTTTATTTTATTCATATATATATGATGATACTGCTAATCCCTGGGGGTCGGGTCGGGCTGACCCGCACTTCCAACACCATTCTCTGATCACTAAGCCCACCGGGGTACCTGTACAAATGCCCAGCGGGGAACGGGAGTCCCCTAGCGGACCCTCCGACGATCCAGTTAGAAGAGAGAGAGGTTAATGGCGAGTAGAGAGAGAATAATGATAGGGAACTTAACCTTTTGTGTCTGATTTTTTTATCATAAAGACCTTCTAATTTTTTTCATAAATTATGTGCCGAAGCTTCAATAATAATATGATGAGACACACTATCATCAATCTATTAACAAATAACACCAATAACTTTTCGATTAAACCTTTTCTATTAATCATCTTTCATACCCTCGAGTTTGCCACTATCACCCTTAATAGGTCCATACAATTTTTTACAAAATAATAGGTCTCTCATTTGAGTTTTCAAGTTATCCAATTGCTTTCATTGAAGCTAGATATACGACCCATATTCCCCTCCATTGATTTACACAAATAAACAAACCCAAATAAACCGTAAGCTTTGATACCAGTTGTTAGGGAAAATAAATGATTTCACACAATTAAATTAATCAATGGAAACAAAAATAATGCAGAAAAATTAAATCAATAATGACACAAGAATTTTTATGTGGTTCCTTCAATGTGAAGTATGTCCACACAGCCGAAATCTGATTCTACTATCAACCAAGGATTTCCAAAACGATTACAAATAAGACATGAATGGTCTCACAAACCACTCATAGATAAATTCTAAATAATTACTGTTGAAAAATTTGAATTTAAATTTACTCCAATGGTTGTGTCTCTTGAGATGAAAGTGTGTGTCCTTTTGAAGGATCATAATTTTTCTGAAGAGTCACATAAAAGTCTTTATATTCCATCTCCCTCACTTCATTTTGGACGGTGAATTACCATTCTTCTTCACTTTGTATTTATTCTTCATATTTCCTTAGTCTAATTTTTCTATAAAGAGAGTTCATGTACAGCAAAGTTCGCTAGGCTTGCAATAGTAGTGCTGCTAATGCAAGACATTGATCGTTGTATCCTAGGAGATAGACGTCCATTGAATCCTAAGCACCGGTGGGAGGACGAATCTGTCTTAAGGAGAGAGTGTCATACACTCCACTCGATCAGGTTTTATCTATTTATAGTTTTATCACGTTATTATATCGATTTATTTCAGTTTTGGTTTTGCCCAAAAATCGTTTGCATATTTTTAAATTATATTTTCCCGATAGTTTGGTACTATTTTTCTAACAATCTTAAGACATATTTTCCATGTACATAATTTTTGGGCAAATATTGTTTTGTGTATCAGAACTGTTGTTAAACAGATTTATCATTGTTAAAATAGTTCCGATTATAACTTATAACTAGTTTGAATCTACCAGAAATCAATTTAAT